GAACTGCCGAACTGCAACTAGCAGTCAGCTGAAATAGCCTGCAGTACTGCACTCTAACCACTGTGCCATCTCGGCTCATAAGAATGAGGACTCGCTGCAAATCGCTTTTTTTCAGCGTTCTTGAAGCTTCAAAGAGTCACTCTAAGAAGGGTTATAAGGAAAGGACTACCTTACAGTGGAACTACTTGTAGTTTTATTTTAGAAAATCAAGGAGTCATGCAGGAGGTCACTTTTATTTGTGAAGGCAAAAAAAAAATCGGATTGATTTAAATCTTTCCACCCCGGGAAAAAAATGCCTTGATCTATGGTCTTTTGAATTCATCCTTTTGATTTGTCTACCATTGGAATGTACTTAGGCATTGCAGTCTTGTCATCTTTCACATTCTATACACAAACTACTATTTTCAACAACTAAAAATGTGTCATTTGCTATGGAAACCTGCAGCAAAGCAAACTCAATTAAATTCTCCTTTCTTGTATATTATAACTATAGGTGTGCGGTAATAGCCAATGTTCGAAGGGAATTTATTTTTTCCCCTTGTAATTCTCTTGTAATTCCCCAGAATTACAACCTGGATACCCCTCAGCATCTTTTAAATTCCACTAGTTCAAAAGTTTATCTAAAGAGTACAGAATATTGTTACAAGCGACTTAATGGAAAGAAAGCTGATTTCAGTGGATAATTATAGTATGTCATTAGTGATTTTTCTGACATACTCCCAAATCCTTAGAGAAGAGTTTTTAGATTTTTAAAGTGTTGCTCATACTTTTAGCAAAAGAATGAGATTATGTTTGGAAAGTGACTTAAAATAAAAACACGACTTGTTCTCTCTTCCCAAATCTTCGATACAAACATTTGTTAAAGTTAATAAGCATCTTTCCATCTTAAAACAAGGACACAAATGTTTTTAAAAAGCAGAAAGCCCATAAACATTTCTTTATTTTTCCCAGTTTGGATTCTATCAACCTTCAACCATTATTGTAGTCACACATCAATCATATTAAATTGAGAAAATATGTATTCAGGATCCTTTGTAATAAAAGGCTACTAGATATCCATTTCCCTTACTTGAATTCAACTACAATTGATGTTTCTGAATTGATGCAATGGTTAAACAGCAGGCTAGAAACTAGGAGACTGTGAATTTTAGTCCTGCCTTAGCCATGAAAACTGGCTGGATTACTTTGGACCACTCACTGTCTCTAGACCATGCCATTCAGGTCTGTTAGTCAATTCTTGTCACCACCAAATGGTTCAACCTTTGGTTGATCTGAAAAAAGCAGAGCCTTCCTTTGTGGGGAAATGCTACCCGGTTCCCCCAAAAATAAGACCTCCCAGATAATAAGCCCAATTGGGCTTTTGAGCTCATGTTCTAAAATAAGCCCTCCCCTGAAAATAAGCCCTCCCCGAAAATATTGCAACAAAGCAGCACCCATGAGGTGATCATGCTCACCACCTTCTGCAACTCAAAAATAATAAGACCTCCCTAAAAATAAGGCCAAGTGCCTTTAAAAGAAAATAACACTGTCTTATTTTTGGGGAAACATGGTGTTCTGACCCCCCTCGTTCCACACCAAAGCACACTCCGAGCCACAGATAAATTACGGCATTTAATTAACAGACAAACAGGTCCTTGGCAGCAACCCGACACAGACAGGTTTGGGCAGCAATAAACACAGATAAGACTTGGCAGCAATCCAGCCTGCCAAGCTCACACAAAGTTCTCCAACATTCGATTCTGTGTTGACGTCTGCAAAGTAGCCTTTTTATAGTCTGGAAAGGAGCCTAATGACCACCAGCTGAGCGCAATTACCTCCTGTAATTGCGTAATTGTTCCTGAC